CCTGCCTATGCAGGGGGTCAGACTCGATGATCTCAAGCAAATCCCGGGACGTCTCAAGCAAATCCCGGGACGTCTCTCAAGCAAATCCCGGGACGTCATTCTCCCCCTGTACTCGGCCTTAGTGAGGCCGCAGCTGGAGTACTGTGTCCAGTTTTGGGCTCCACAATTCAAAAAGGATGTGGAGAAGCTTGAGAGAGTCCAGAGAAGAGCCACGCGCATGATCAGAGGTCAGGGAAGCAGACCCTACGATGACAGGCTGAGAGCCCTGGGGCTCTTTAGCCTGAAAAAGCGCAGGCTCAGGGGTGATCTGATGGCCACCTACAAGTTTATCAGGGGTGACCACCAGCATCTGGGGGAACGTTTGTTCACCAGAGCGCCCCAAGGGATGACGACTAGGTCGAATGGTCACAAACTACTTCAAGATCGTTTCAGGCTGGACATAAGGAAGAATTTCTTTACTGTCCGAGCCCCCAAGGTCTGGAACAGCCTGCCACCGGAGGTGGTTCAAGCGCCTTCATTGAACACCTTCAAGATGAAACTGGATGCTTATCTTGCTGGGATCCTATGACCCCAGCTGACTTCCTGCCCTTTGGGCAGGGGGCTGGACTCGATGATCTTCCGAAGTCCCTTCCAGCCCTGATGCCTATGAAAGTCTATGAAATAAAACTAATCAAACTGCAAAACCAGAAATTCCAGTTGTGTTTGCAAGTGTGCTGTATTACCTAAAATTCTGTTGCAGCCACAAGTCGAACGCAAGGTGCCTCAGAAAAGTGTCAGCTTTCGTTCCATTGTCATTTACCAGTAAAGATCTAGATGAGCTCAGAGGAAAATCCTAAAATGTATGTTGTTTGTTCTATTAAATTAGCTATTGGGTTTTTTTTGGCAGCTAATTTATTTACTGATTTTCTGAAGTCAAGCAATATTTCCAACTGTATACTGCAAGTGAAAAAAATTAGTCTTCATCCTTACATTGTCCTTGCTAGTACTTTCTTTGACCAATATAAGCCAACATGACCAATATAGGCCAACTATGTGAACAATAATTTCATTACATATTTCATATAGTCAAAAAAATTTAATCACTTTTTCAACATCTCTTTATATCAGTGTTTTTCATATTATACGTGGCAGCAAACAGCTTCTGTTATTCTGCATCTGATTTACACCTATTTTACAAAACTTTCAAAGAAGAGGGCTATTCATATATAGTTAACAGGGACCTAAATATGCAATAAATACCATAATCTGTGATTTGGGAGAGCATATCACCAAAAATAATAGTGTAATGGACCCTGTATCTGGAGATGTTAAGTCATTACATGTGCATTAACAACCAATTTGTTTTCTCTGGTGTAATAAAATATTATTGGTCATTACCTACCTTCACCACTAAACACGCTGCAAGTCATGAGTCTAGTTCTAAACTGTTCATTTTCTTCAAGCATTTTTGAAATTATTTTTAATACTCCATGGCAGACTTCAGTCTAAAAGAATAAAATAAAACTTTATCAATGAAACATGTTTAAAGTTTGCGTTAAAAAAAATCTCTTCAATAGGGTTCTGTATTTTTCTGGGATGAAAATTCAAGGGCAGTTGAACTGGGGTTTTTTGCTAGATTTCTCCAAACAGTTACTTAAACACCTAAAGCATGAGTGTTGAATTCTTCCTCCCCGTTCTTCACCCGGACTCTCTTCCTGTTCCTCACTTCAAACTCTCATTCCCCAACATTTGTGAACCTGTCTTCCCACATATGGAGACCCAGATGTAGCTGCTTGTGGGGCCTTCAAAATATCTTCAGGGTCATCTGGAGAGGCAATATTTAAAACAACACAAACTTGCTCCTTTCCCACTGGGTTGAAGCACATTCCCATCCAGTCTCTTGTGTGCAGTGTAATTCAGTTCCAGTGCTCAGATTCCTGTATCATCGTGACCTGGCCTGTTTTGATATCATCTCACCATGAATTACTTTGCTGTTATCTACGGGTCATTAACTGCAAGGGCACATTTCAAAGTTCTGTCATAATTCTTCAGTTTTCATATTTGTTAACAATTTCAGGCCATTCATATAAGATCTGACAAGAAGCTAACTTATCTAAATAGCTATAACATGCTAAAGTTATGATGAGAATTAGACCACCAGCTGTGAAATTGGCTTACATTTAATGATAATTCCTTGTCAAGCTTTATTGCTAAAATTCAACACATGTGCCTAGTTCTTCTTGAAAACTATCTAATGAACTAGAGGAGACACTGCAGCAAGTTATTAGCTGCTCCTGTGAAGTCAGTAGTTTTCTCCTGGTTTTAAATCTCATTCTGTGGCATTACTACATTTTACTCCAGCTGACTTCACACTTTCCAAAATCTCATAATGGAGTTATCACTTACTAAATATGTCTTGCTCGTTTTTTTCTTTTTTTTTTTTTTTTTTTAACTTCAAGCACTAGGTGACCCATGAACACCACATGCCCCTGGAGGCTGGGGGGGCACGGCGAGCTCCCACAGACGGCGGCGGCACTGTTGGTGGTGGCAGCATGGTAGCGGCAAGCAGGGAGCTCCTGCAGGTGGCCGCAGCACTGTCAGCAGTGGGGCAGGGGGAGTGGTGAGTGCCAACCAGTTGGTGACCATCCACAGACACCATCGGCAGCAGCCAGTGGCGATTGTGAGCCACCCACAGATGCCGCCAGTGGTGTCGGGGGGGCGGGGATGGCGAGCGGTGACCGCCCGTAGGCACCACCATCAGCAGTGTCAGCAGCACCTTTTTGCAGGGGATGCATTGCCACGCTAAGGGGGTGCAAGTGCACCCACATGCACCTGCTACATGTCGCCAGTGAGATGAACTGCTCAACAGGACCAGAGAGATATTTGTTATACAAAATGTAATTTTGTATTTCTACTAGTCAACTATTCTTTTGTCAGATTTTGCTCTATGGAACCTCAGTGGCTAAAATTGATAAATGACTACCAGATTTCATCCCTAAGAGCCATCTAAGCAAGAGCTTGTAGAAAACCCTGGCCCCAATCCTGAAAAGCAGATAAGCACAGAGTTTAATTCCATGGGTCTACTCATGTACTTCAAGGTAAGCACAGGCATAAGCGTTTTGCTGGGTCCGACCCAGAATTCTCAGGTTCTAAGGTAGTGCCGATAATTATATTTTTCCTTCCTACAAGCAGAATTTCCTATACCAAAGTGCTGTTTCAGTCTTAGCAACCATCTCTCTCTCATGCTTTCTCACACACACATACAATACAGACAGGAAACCATGTTCTCAAACGTAAAATCAACTCTTCTGTTTAGATTAAATTCCATACTTTCTACCTTGTCCTTTTTCCTTTTTATTGCTTTGCCAACTTTTTGTGAAGGGAAAGGGAAACCAAAGGGATCCACCTGCTTCTCTTGAAGATCACCTGTGAGAAAAAAGCAAAAAAATGAAAAAATAAATAACAAGGCTTGTGTATTCTATGAAGCTGCAGATATCAAACTAGTCAGAGTCTCCATCTTTCTAATATTGTACTATATTTACTTCAGGTATTACCAGCCTGTGAGCTATCAGAATTGTCCTATCACATAATCCAGATTACCATTTTGCTTACTTCCTTCATTACAATTACTATGAGACTATAGCAGCTGATGTCTCATAAACCACTTAAGACAGAGATCAATATCTCATAATGACTGAAAATGTAGACATTAGGCTTTCAAGGTGGTACACTTACTTTCTACAACTTGATTTTTTTTTCCTTAAGATGGTAGCCACCAAAATTCTATCCAAGTTGAAGATTATAATGAGGATGTTATTTCAGTGTCTGATATTTCACCATTTCTGGTGCTGAACGCACTTTTACAAAGCAGTACAAATGGCTTCAGCAAAGATTCCACTTTTATATTCAACCCACTGTGACTTTTTCACAAACTCTATTAACTGCAGGATGATTCAGTGGTTAGAAAAATTGCAGACTATGAATTCAAATAGAAGAACTAGTATCAGGCTTAGGGAAATGAAAAGGGAGTCTTTTGTTTTCTACATTTGCTGAGGTTGACAGCACTTTCAAAACTCAGGATTAATAGTTAAGTGACAATAAGAAATTTATCTCCAGGAAAACACAGGTTCTCATTTCTAGACCCAAGTAAAATCGCATTTTGCATTTCATTCAATGGGCAGCTTTGAGAGAGAGAGAGTGAGTGTGAGTGTGAGTGTGTGGGGCCAGCCTTCTGGGTGGGCGACCGCTCAGGACACCATGGTCGGGGGATGCCCTGGTCAAGAGGTTGTAAAATGAAAAAATTCAAAATAAATCATGTAACGTGACATAGTGTGACAAATTTCTTGTAACTTAGCAGTTCTCTGGTTTTGTTTTTTCATTAAACTTGGAAGGGAACACAATGTCACAAGAATCTAAGATGTCAGATTTTTTTTTTTTATTTATATAATTTATTATTTGAATAAAATTAAATTGAATTTTGTGTCATTTCCTCTTTTGTACTTTTTTAGTAAATTATAACAAACTTCTGAGTTTACAGCTTAATTTCTAAACTTGCAGTAATACTACTACATACTTAAACACAAAGCAAAAGTGCCAAAATGCAAGTTCACCCAGGGCATCATTTTCACTAAGGCTGTGTGAGCATGAAAGAGTGACACCATTTTTTGTTTTGGTTTGTTCTAAAAGTGGAAAACTGCTATAAGCAAAAAAAAAAAAAAAAGAGCAAAAAGGGGCATCCATTCCTGTCCTCACTACATTCAGGCCCAGGCACCAAGCGGGAGACTCTCATTTACCAGCATATAAGATTTGAGGTAAAATTAATGAATTTGTGACTTCCCAGGAACTTAGCCAAAATGCTATTTTTCCCAGCTGTCAAACACTGTGGTCTGTTGCTTCTGCTGCAAAGCATGTGCAAGGTCCCTCAAAGGAATCCAACATGCGTACGTGCGTCAGGGAGGCCATCATGGAGGACATTCTGGTTTTCTGCTACTCTGTCCTCTATTGATATGAAACCCAATGTCTTTATGTCCTCTATTTTTCTCTTCAAAAGAAAAATAGAGGATATAAAGGCGTTCAGTTTTGTATCAATAGAGGACAGAGGACAACTGGATTGTCCTCTATGATGGCCACCCTAGCATGTGTGTGCGCGCTTGCATGCACGTGCATGTCACACACGTATGGTGAGGGCCTCAGCCCTCGAGCAAGCTATATTAATATCATTGCCAATGCCCTGTGGCTAGGGGAGAGGGGCTTGTGGAGGCCTCAGATGTAGACCCTGGGGCCTCTGAGCTGGGTTAAAGGAGCACAGGTTGTCAGACGCCCCCAACTGCAACCTACTTTCTGCATGTCCTCTTTTTCCAGGATAACACGTCCCATGTCCCTGGCTGAAGAGGCCTGTAGGAGCAGAGCTACCAGGCGTTTTCCTGCTGCTCGATAGCAGCTCAGTCCCATTCCCCCTGCACTTAGCGGCTCCCCCCACCTGACTCCTCGGTCTCTGGGCAACAGCACACAAGCCAGCTCCCTCAGGTCCACCCTTGCACCCTCGCCTATGCTTGCTGGCAGCCAGGGCCTTGTCCCTCAACCTCAGGGCGCTGGTGGGGGCCTCCTGCCTCTTGCGTACACCAGCACTGGGGGACATGTGTCTGCCTAGGAGACTGGGAGTGGCAGCGGTCTCCTCGTGGCATCTGCGGCCACCCCTGTATTGGATCACAGAGCCGCAACGGTGGGAACCAAAGCTGTTTATGTAAACCATCCGTATCCGCTCCTGGCCAGAGCCAGAGCCAGAGCCAGAGCCAGGCTTCATCCTCAAGGCAGGCTGGCTAGGCTGGATGAATTGTGGGGGAGGAGAGGTGACACCGGTTCTCCTCACACACAGGGTGTATGTGTGTGTGTTGTGGGGGGGGAAAGCCACCAGAAGGGGCGTCACGGGAGAAACCACTGGGAGAGCCTCGTGGAGGGTCTAGTGGAAGGAAGTGCCCCCCCCCCCCCCCCCCCCCCACCCTTTAAGGGGCATGGAGGGTGGCGATGGGCAGGAAAGGGGAGATGGGGAAGGGGCATCGGGTGCTGGAGGATGTTTCCGCTGTCATTTCCAACAGCTCTTCAGAAGTCTCCGCTCTGAGTTCATTGTCCTACAGCAGGTGGGAGGCACGGGGACAGGGGAAGCCATTTGTGAGTGGTATATAGGAGCCGCCACTCCAAGCTCTGCATGGCCGGGGGTTTGCAAGAACGTGAACGGTTTCTGGGTCATAGGGGAGCAACACGTTAAGAGACAGGAAAGTCAGGTCACTGCTAAATTGCAATGACAGCGCCAGGAGTGCTGCAAACTGCTATGAAAACTTACCAGAACAAGGCCATTAATCCATTCACCCAAGCTTTGTCTTGCTGCTGATAGTGATGGAAAAGCTAGTCACAACTTAACTTACCTGGGAAAAAATTCGCTGGTCCTAGAAAAATAGTAAGATTCTTGTGTGTGTTAAGACTGGATTCAAAGTTCACCACCACATGCAGTTTGGTTCACACTGTCACCATCATCTGGAGGCGTGGTCATTTATATTGTATACCTGTTTTGACTTGCAAGAATAGTAAATGCTATTTTGGCTCTTTTTTCTTTGCTTTTATAAATTGTTAAAAGTCACAATAGCAGTAGAATTCAAAATAGGCCCTAGCCTGCTTCAGTTATTAGTGCTAGAGCTGCCAGGTGGAGCTGCCAGTAGAAATACCAGTTTAACCAGTGTCAGTGTGGATCCCTGAATTGATTAGTGCTTTTAAGTTATATTCTCAGCCTTGCCACTGTCAAAACGTTACATATCCTGTTCCTGAAAGGACACCTATTACATTCTAAATTCCTTATATTTGAAAAATTTCTCGCTATGCCAACAAGGGTTTCAGTGCAACTCATCTGTTTCATAAACTTTTACGTAACGTGGGACTTTCAAATGCATTTAAGAGTGAAAAAGTCCTCATGACATCTGCTTAGTCACATAAACACCATTAAAAATCCCATTTGGGATTATTTCACAATGTTTCAAAGCCTTTATTTACCTGTCTGAAAGAACTAGCAGTGTTACAAGTTAACACTTGGGAAACGGCTTTTATTTTAATGCAGCATGAGAATGTACAATTTTGGAGAATATATTTCCCTTGCAGACTGCTCTAGAGCCAGGTGATGTTATAAGGGGTGCTTTTCCATATATTGGATTGGATTTTGGATGAAGTCTATGACTATATAAAAGGGGGGGGGAGGGGGTTTCAAATGCCATTTTGAGTCCTTCCTCTTGTAATGGCACCCTGAGTATCAAAATATGAACAGTGCAGTTGGAAAGAGACCGTTGTTCAAATATACTCCACAAGATGGCAGCCTTACCTATGGAAAAGACAGTATAATCTTGCAGAGCCTGATAGTTTGCCAGAAATATTATTTTTCAGTGAGAGAAGTACAGCTATGGTAGCCCCCAAATGCCTGCCCCATAAAAATAAGATTACATGTATACAATACAGCCATCACTTGAACCACATCCTGCAAAAGATAATGAAACGCTTACCTAGCCACAGTGCCGAGCAAACCAGGAGCCCTCTCCTTCCTAAAATGTCTGAGTAAATTAATAGGATTAGTAAAGAGACTTGTGTGCTAACGAACTCCAAGGAGGTGAGCCAATTCCAGATCCAAAAGCCATGATCCCAGAGTGTAAATTAAATACGGTCTCCTTAATCAGGTGAAAGTAATAAGGCACAGTGGCTCAACCCCTAAAAATCCAGGCATTTTCCCCTGACACATGAAAATAAGTAGCCTCCATTTTGATTATCTTGCCATTTTACATTTCACATGGAAACCTGATGCTGTATATTTCTGATCAGGAGTCTGGTTTGCCAACTAGCAGAGAGCTTTCCTCCTACGGCCCCTTCAATAGTCTCTGTATTGGCAGTCCGGAGAGTTGTGCCAAGCAGGTGGTATTGCTCCACATCTGCGCTGTAGTGTTCTCCTACTCTTTGTCATTTCAAAGGCACAGCCCTCATGTGACAAGTTTTGTTCATCCTTCCTACCACTACGTTGCCAGAAGCAGACCTGATTTGGAAAGCAGCCTCTACCCAGCATCCCATTTTAGCATCTCAAAATGACAAGCAGAATTGCCACCATCTAAAAATCTAACAAGTATATGGGTACAAAATGGCCATCTGCTTTCCAGGAACTCTAGAATTGGAAACTGTCTCATTTTAGATGTACAAATTTACTACTCCAGCACAACAAAAAGGACCACCCCACTAACCTTTCTTCTAGCCGATTCAAAAGCGGTCATCAAAAAAAAATTTAAAAATACATATGGAGCAATTACTTCACTGATATAGATCTATATCAACATTGATGGACAGATAGATATCAGTGAAATAATTGCTCCTTAGTTACTCTTCATTTTAGACTATATAGAGAAGTCCAGCACCACAACTGATTGACTTTTTTTGAAGGAGGAGGAGTCCGAACACTGTGGATGGGTCATATATGAGTCAACATCCATGCAAGCTCCAGCCTTTGTCCTTCTGCCCATACTGGACTCCGTATAGCAAGATGTTTGCAACAATTTTTGAACCAGCTGCTTCACTGTGCTCCTGCAACATCTGAAGGCTGGGGGCTTCATTGCCAAGCTGAAGAAGGGTCAGGGTGGTGATTCAGTTGCATATATAGAAGCTAAAGTTTAAGCTCACAACTACTCTTTGTATGTAATATATGTGCCGTAGAGGGAATGGCAGTCTTCATTCAATTTCTGAGCTCAGGCCATGGTCTTCATCAAATATTAATTTCCAGCACTGGATGAATATTTTATTAACCCGTGCAATATAAAGACATTTTGATCTAGCCCAGTGGTTTTCAGCCTCTGGCCCATGGACACCTGGGGGTCCAAAGACTATGTCTAAAGTATCTACAAAAGATGACTATGACCAAAAATATGTGAATACCCACACTTACAGTTCAAAGGGGTCCGCATCTCCATTTGAAATTTGCAAGGAGTCTGCACATCCATTCAAATGTTTTTAGGGGGTCCGCAAATGAAAAAAAAATTGAAAACCACTGACTTAGCCTGTCAGTATATTATAAGGCTTTCTTCCTTTGGTTTTAAGAAAATGATACCACGAGGTAGCTGCTCATTCTGTAGTTGGTCATTTAGAACCAGCATCTGCATTTCACAGTGCTACAAATGTCAGGGTAATATCAGATCTGATGCCTGCATCCAGTTTGCACCTTTCTGGGTCATTAACTTTGTAGTCCAAAAAGTGAATGTTTTTTGGGGATTTTCTAAATTCATGTATCTGAGCTTTAAGTCAATCCTATTAAACCTATCCTCCTTGGATTACCTTTTAAAATATCACATTGGAAATATTTTTGGCGGTGGGAGCGAAGGTTGAGGCAGCCACTATAGTAGCTGCCCCAAATAAACTGTGCCAAAGAAGTGGAAGTAGTCAGAGGAAATGTCATTGCGTGCATGCTGGGTGATTAATCTGCAATCCCTTCTTCTGATAAGAAATTTCATTCTTGTTTAAAAGTCTGCCATTTTCCTAGGAGGTTTCTTTGCAAATTTAGCAGACTTGGACAAAGTACCTACACAATTCAATATAGCTGTGGGACAAAAGATGAAGTAATATTGAATACGCAATTTCACCAGCTTGCTACCTTTTCAGTGTTTAACTCTGAAAATAGTCCTGTAACAGGGACTGGTGTGTGAAAAGCATGCTAATTGTAAAAACAGCTACAATCAAACCTTGTTAATTACCAGTATACCCCCAACAATCAGCACATATGATAACATACCAGTAGCTCCTTACCGCTCACAAAAGATTTACCAGTAATTGCAAAGTCACCATAGCTAGCCATTTTGCTAGGACTTGGTTGACTTACAAAATATGCTGGAGGTCATTTACTAGCGTAACTAGGATGCACTGTGAATAAAATGAAGACCATGGCTGCTCAGTAAATCAAAGTGATGCACTATCCTTTGTTTAATTGTGTTTATTTAGTTACATGCTCATTTGCAAAATCCCATAATTCACTGTAGGTTTCCTAGCCAATAGCATAATTAACAAGGTTCTGCTGCAGAGCAAAATATTGTATATATTATACACACACATAGCCAACTCAGCCATTTTACTATCCCAGTATTCATATTCTTTTATCTGAAAGGCTACAAGAGAACCTTACAAACCAGACATAAAGGAATTGTACCCTTACCACTTATTTAATGCATTTGCCCACTAAGCAATGTTCTACATAAAGGTATTGAATAGATGGTAAATAACTACAGGTATATTTGATATATAAAAGCCTGAATTTCTCCAGGACTTTTGTGCATCTCTCCCATTGTGTTAGCAGGCCCAGAATGAACACTGAAATTCAGCCCTCACCTTGCAATGAGTTTGACATGCCATAGTTTTGAAGTATTCTATATTAAGGTAGAAAGCAAGGTGTACCAACTATAGGTAATACTACAGGGGAATTTTGATGGACAAAATGGATTACTAAAACTGAAGATGGAGGAAGATCAGACTTACAAGACCTACTGAGAGAGGGTGCTGTGATCTAGAAGACAGGATACAAGACTGACAGCCAGGACTTGGGTTTGTTTCCCAGTTTTGCCATTGATTGTGTACCCTTGACCAGTCTTGTAGTAGTGGTTCCCTTAGTCTCAAAGCAGCGCTAATGAGCTCTTCCCTTGGCTGTTTTGGATTTGTGGCTGTGGAGGCTGGTGAGTTTTATTACTTTTCCTCTCGACAGTGTAACACACCCATGCAAAAGGAGTCACCTGAGAGATACTACCATAACTTTCTAACACCTAGCTGGGGCTGAGAGTGAGTAGACTCAAATGGGGAATCACTACATTTATCAGGACCCTTGCATCCCATCACTGAAAACCTGACTTTTCAGAACCTTTGAGATTTGACATGATCACAGCCCAAACTATGGGTGAAGGCTAATATAAAATAAAGGTCTGCGTCATCAATGCAGTTGACTGTGTACAAGAGACATATACTCCACCTACTTGTGAGACTAAGATTTCCTAGTATCTTTCCAAATCTACACAGTCACATTTTTCAGAAGACATAGTGATGCTGCCAAGAGAAGAGAGGAGCTTCTGTATCAAGGGAACTCTGCAAAGAAAATTAAAGCAGTTGCCATTGTGTCCCCTCGTCAACTTCTTTCTCTGAAAAACCAACCTTTGAACAACCTTTCTTACCAGTGCTTGAGACCCAAGGCGAATCCACCAGTGCGAACGGAGCAGCTGCCCTGCTGAAGCCAAGCCAGCAGTTACTTTAATGCAGTTTACAATAGGATTGATCCTAACAATAACATCTGAGTTTTTTGACTGTATATATACTAACGAGCATTTTATGCCCGAATTCAGAAAAGCAGTTAAGAGTATGTGTGTCCATCTATACACAGGACACTATGTAAGCACCTACTTAGAAGTTAAGTCCTATTCTGAATGCAGGCTTTAACGTTCTCATACGCACCACAAGATACAACTACCACTAAGCACATTGATCTTTGGTATATCACTCAGCAGTGTGCCGGGTGGAGGTTTAGACTGAGTATGTAGTTTAAATTAAAACTTGACTAGAGTTGACGGAGACTTAAAAATAAAAAATAAAATAAATTTTGAAATGCATCACAGTGTGCATGAACTAATACCCTCTAAAGAGATTCCAAAACTACATCCCAGATAAAGTGAGATGCAGCATGTGTGGACTACCATGGCTCCATGGATACTGACAGTATCTATTCTGCCATATACACAGATTCAGCATTCTTCCTCAACCTAGCAAGGGAAAGCAATCAGAACCACTTCATTGCATGAATTCACTATCAAAAATACCAAATGACATATCTGCAATTTCTTTATATAGAGTTCTTCATATGGGATTTTAATAGGGAAAACCACAGCAACAAAATTCATACAATTCTAATGTAAAAGGAGGGTGTGTGGGGCGGGAGGGGGAGAATGCATGTCTGAAAAGGCAGCAACAATGAAAAGCATTTATTTTAGAGACTGCATAGAAAATAATGTGTGCTAGGAACTGTATGGCCCTGGGAACTAGTAATAAGACATGGAGACGTTCAGCCCCAGGTATTGGTTCAAATCCGAGTGCAGATTGGTGTGACCAAAGCAGTTATTCTCCAATATCTGTTTAATGGTCCATGTGAAGTGAGCTGATAGTTTCAATCCATTTCCAAAGGGAGAAAGAACCCGTTGACAAAACTGCCACAACCACCAGTCCCTTATTAACAGCCCCAGCAAAAGGGTCATGATTTGAAGTCTGAAATGTCCTTAATAATTGCCTCTTCAGAGAAAAAATGAGGAACACTGTTCCTACACCAAGGCATGACCTGTGTTATTGTGTGTGCTGTGTGCTTAGGCTCTTAGAGGACTTCAGGCTTGGTGTAGCTGATCAGTATCTTTCACGATCATTAAAAATTAAGGGAAAAACATCCAGTGCACGGGCACATCATAGATACAGCTAAAGAGGCTCACTACAATTTTAACCCCTTTTGTTTAGTTTAATCTCTGGTGCTGGTTCACAGACATGTAGGCCTGCAGAATTCTGGGAGGAGTCTCCATTGACATTTGCCACAAAACCGGCAGGGGGAGGACAATATTGTCAGCAATTCCATGGACAAAGTGAGTGCTGTGGGTCTCCTCTGTTTAAAAATATCCATTAGAAAGAAAACTAACAATTTAGAACCCGGAGAACATCTACAAGCCCTAGACAGAATCAAGCAACTTGTAGTTTTGGTATCACAGACACAGGTTATATTTGATAGGATTAACAGGTGTTTAGCGTTTCAGTAAGAATCCAGCACCACCTCAGCAGGGATTTAAGATTGAATTTATTTAAACAACCAATTCAATCTTTTTTCAAATTAAATTTATCTGACTGAAAAGACAGCTGCATGTATATTCTCGCCCCAGAGGCTGTTTTTCATACTGACAGACTGAATCAGCTTATTTTACAGAGGAAGAGATGTCAGTGTTTTTCCCCTCATCTATCCTTGCCGAGGTTCTTATTTGTCTTTGATTTCCTGTAGGCAAGCAATGTGCCTTTGGACTGGCCTGAGCCAGCTCTCCTAGTACTGAATAAATATCAGCTGAAGAGTCACAACGTACATTTGCTGGATAGCTTCTACTAAGCAATCAATCTGGAAGCAGAGAAAAACTCTTTAAAATACAGGATTTAATCTAAAGCTGTATTAAACAGGTTTTGCACCTTCCAATCCAAAATGAATCTCTCCAAACTATCAGCTCAGGGAGTAAAAGTGGTACCCAACAGAAAACTCTGGCAATTCATTAGTTATGCAGTCTACAAACAGCCTCTGCAGAAGGAAATATTTCACGATTGGTGTGCTGAGGAAATACTGGAGTTTTACTCATTGCTAACATTTAGCATCTGCTCATGCTATTTCATTTCTAATAGCTTCAGGACAGAATCAGCCCCAGAAGTATGTTGGTCATATCTTCTTTCCTAGAAAGTTCCTTCTGAGCAAGTCTGTCAGAAAAAAAAATAGCAAAAAAATAATCTGTTCCATGTAGCAGGTGGTATAAGCCCTTGGCAAGTAATTTTACCTCACCATACCACAGTTGCTTATTGCGCCTAATGTTTTCATACCTCAGCTGTGTCACAAGGGGGAATTCACAGCATAAAATATTTCACAATTCTCAAATGGAAGGCATTAGAGGGACAAAACTAAGTAATATCACAACCAAAATGCCCATCCCAATACTAAAAGGCAATTTAAGTTTCCATTTGCATTCTAGTAAATACCTTTTGGTTTAAGGCAATTAGGACTTCCTAAGGATCAGGCAGCAGTTAGTTAGGAAGGAATACCATTGATACAGCATCAGAAGAGAACAAAATCCCACCTGCAGCAGCTAACCTTTGCAGTCCAGAAACACATTTACAAATAAGTAAATAAAAATACCACTAGCTGATAATGCAACTTCTCTACAAACACATGCTTTCTAAAAGATCATTACCTCTTCAAAACAGGTGTCAAAAATGTATTAGACTGGCATAAGCCAACACACCCCTAATCCACAATACCAACAGAAGGAAAGCCAAGTTACATGTTAAAAAAATGGTGAATGCTGTCTAGCACTGATTAGCTGGCACAAAATGCAGTGATGAAGAATTCATTACTAATGAGACAGATATGCACATTTCTATATCAACTGTGCTTCTGACTCAATTAGCTTGCTGACAGTTTTGTTTTAAAATATCTGTTTTCAGAGATTGGGGGATAATTTAATGAGTTAAAAGATTCTTGGTGTTAGGACTAATAGTGAACATTGGTTAACACAGAATATTGTGCAAAAGAATTAACTTGTACTTTCCAAGTACAAGTTTTTTCTGTAAGAATATTTTCTATTCTGGGGAGTTCAATTTCTCATGAAATACACTTATATTTCAGTGCATTGTTTGACCAGCAAAAAAATCAACTTCCTTACTGGCCAATTCAGTTTCTCTAAAGTTGAGATATTCTTGTCAAGACACAAGTGCTTAAGTAGTTTGGGGAAATCCTGGGTGCTGTGGAGACATTATTTTAAATCCTTTGTGCCTAGGCCTCCTCTAAATAGTCCTTGAAGGGTAGAAACAGGAGCAGCTAAAATTTAGACAGGCATTTAAGTGTCAAAAAACCTCTATCTTAAGGCTTAAGACTTATCTAAGAATTGTCTCTTTAAAAAGGGAAGCTCAGTACAACACAGAAATAATGGGAATATTAGATGAAAATTAAAACTAATCAATTGAGCAGCGTTGGAAGCAGTTCTGAGCCACTGGAGATGCAGAGCCTCAATTATAAACCATCACGTAGACCACGTCAAA